TTTTTTCACTCTATCTTCAGAGGGGCATGCCGTCTGTTCCTTTACAGTCGGCTACTCTCCATTGAGTTTTTTCACTCTATCATCAGAGGGGCATGCCGTCTGTACCTTTACAGTCGGCTACTCTCCATTGAGTATTTTACTCACAATACTTAGCTAAAAAGATTAGGGCCTGGCCGACCCTGTGCCTAACAGGCGGCTACCCTTCTTTGACTTAGCACCTACGTTCACCAAGAACTTACCTAGGCCACCGGCCGAATGATCAGACCAGGCGCCTAGTCAACTGATCTAACTTTTAAAAACTAATCCGACCTGTCCCAACATTATAGCAGGCGTCCGGCGGCATCCATTCGGATGAAATTCGTCGCAGAGAGCAGCTCCCTTTTGGGTGGAACATTGTTCTATAAACTAATTACACGGCACCTATACGACTGTCCCAAAGGGCAACCACGTAGCCGTTTTTGAGACAAGGATAACTCTATCACTAACCAAACCAGTGGTAGCAGTTGACATCTGAGTCAGATGACCGCCTGTATTACTTGGGATAAATGCAGGGGGTACCTATTGAGTTAATAGCCAACAAACATTGGCGAATAAAGGGGTCTAGCCGGCCTACGCCGCCTGGTACCTCTACTTCTCAAACAAAAGTGACGGCGACTGAGTAACTCCAAAGTTAACTCATAGTCACTCCTTCAAATTTGGTATGGAACCTAAAAAGTTTGAGTCGTCCGCCTGTTTTATACAAACAAGGGCACTCGAACCCCTATTCCTACTGGATAACCTATTGAGTAAATAGCCAACAAACATTGGTAAATCAAGGGGTCTAGCCGGCCTACGCCGCCTGATACCTTTACTACTCAATCAAGATTGTGACGAAGACTAAGTAACTCCTATGTTAACTTAATAGTCACTCAAACTTAGTACTGAGCCTAAAAGGTACGAGTCGTCCACTTGTTTTTAATAAACAAAGGCTCTCAACCAATACTCTTGCTAGGTTAACAAATAACAAATTAGAGGCCAACATTGGCAATAAAGGGAAACAACCGGTACCCGCCGCTTGTTTTCCTACTTAAATTCCTTGGCTACTTGGTAATTCTATTTACTTGGTCAAATTGAATAAAGAGTTCGAATACCGATTGATTAAATGGCCGACTGATCATCTATCCTGGAAACAGACAACCAGTCGTCCAGGGGCATAGGCGGCATACTTACTATTTGTACCTGTCTTAACGTTCGGCCATACACAACAGTCTGTCTAGTGAGCAAATTTCAAATACTTAGACAAATTTGAACAAAAACAAAAAGTTTGATTAAAATGAGCCGGCCATAAAAGACCAGCGGAATATTCAAAACCCCGGCCCCCTGGCCGGGTAATTACAAAGCAAACGGCACGCAGGCCGTGAAAAGAAAAAATATACTTAAAGCTTAAGAAGGGGGCAGTTCAGTATCAGCAGCAGCCGCCTGGTCAGCACTCTTCTTGCTGGACTCGGCCTTCGCTGCATCATCTTTTGATGCCTTTCCCCCAAGTGGCACAAGCGCCACAACCGGCTCTTCCTCCTCCAACGCAACGTCCATCGCCTCTTCTTCAGCAGCCGCCAGGATCTGTTGATTATATATTTCCGAACACTGGCGGTACGTTCTTTCCCATGAGGCAAAGTCGGCACTGGGGAACAGTCGTTCCCAGGTCATGCGTTGGATTTGGGCGGAGTCTTCCACCATCTCCCGGACGAGCTCTTGTTTTTCTTGCTCGGCCTTGTCCGAGAGCTCTTGGGTAAGACTCTTCTCCTGGTTCACCAGGCGTTCTTTTACGTTAGCCAAAGATTTCTCCATGGCTTCGTAAGAGTGCATTTTCTGACGAAGGGGCTTCAGCTCGGCTTTAAGTTTGGTGACGGTCCCCTCCAGCTCGTCAACCTTCTTTTGGGCCGCCTCTAGCTGAGCCCGAACAGCGGCGGTCGCCTGCGCCTGATAATAAAGAAGATCAATGGTCAGTACTTCATTTTGGGCAATTTGAAACATTGCTTTATCACAGCTGGAGGCGGCCATAGCCTTTGCGGCCTTTACCTCTTTGTTTTTCCGATCAATCGGCTTGCGAAGGCTGTTGACTCGGAGCAGGGCCTAAGTACAAAGAAAAACAGGCGTCAGTTTCCAATCAAAAGGGTTAACAGGCGTCCTGGAACTTCAAAAGGGTATACCTCAGCTAGGATCCCCGAAATTCCATCGAGGTCAAGGGTGCCGGCACCCTTGACCGCCTCCCTGTCAGAGGGAGGAACTACTTTAACCATTGACTTGGCTACCTCAACCAAGTCAAGTCCCTGGGGGCCGGCTGCATTAAGCAAAAGGAAAAACAAGTTAGACCTAATCAAGAAGGAAGCAAGAGTGAGTTTTTACAAGCAAGTGTCCATACATCTAGGCGGCCCCGCCTGGGTTTTTGAAGAAGTGGCCGGCTGCTTCTCAGCCGCCACTGTTTTCCTGGAAGACCCAGGAGAGCTTGCAACAGTCGTTCTCCGGGCCTTGGGGTCCGGCTGTTGCGAGGAAGAAGCCCTTGGAGTGCCAGACTGAAAACAAAAAGAGTTAGTATATGCATAATACAACTAAAAGGAGAAGAGTTTTCAAAGCTTACCAAGGGTGCCTCCTTGCTGGGGGAGTCGGCATACGACTGCTTCATTAGCGAGACCCGCAGCATGGCCGCCGCAGTCTTAGATGCTGTTATTTTACTCATGGCGTCGGCTGAAAGAAATAAACAGCAAAGTTAGTAAAAATCCCAAGTAAACAAGGCGTGAAAAAACAGAGTATTCGTCAGGCCGGCTACCTCTAGAGCACCGACTGCCGAGGCCACAGGCGGCCAAGAAGTACTCATCATAGAGCCACTTGAAGCTCGGGACGCAGTGTAGGGGTACTTGCTCTCGTACCCCTGAAGTAGAGTTCACCCTAGTCTCTACTTTGAAGAGTCCTTTGTCTAGGATCTCTCTTTTAGCCTTTGGGGGAACAGGCGGCATGCTGCGGCCGCCTGCAAGAAGAGGCGGATCCCTGTTCCACTTGTTAAATCGTTTGTTCAGCTCCGTGTCTGAACTCTCGATAATAAGGAAGGTGTTCCGCCAATCCTTCCATTTGTTTGCCTTACCTCTCGTCATGAGGTAACCCCTGTGGCTTGTTAGTTGATACCAGCCGGTACCTCCCGACTTAGGGGTCCGGCTGAGATAGTTCATGTGGGCGAAAGCCTCAAAACTTGGCTCCACCCCGTTCAGTTCGCACCCGGCCACATAGCCGAGTACGTTTACCCAAGAGTTGGGGGCTAACTGCCATAACCCCAGATCATACCCATCTAAAATCCGCTGAACAGCCGGATGTAATGGGAAGCGCAGACCAGCTTTGATGGCCGCCACATAGCAGCCAAAACAGCCGTCACCATAGCTGGTACCAGCCGGCCAGACGACAGTATCTTCTGGATCCGGCACAAACAGTAAATACTCCGGGCCCATTTTGTGGTTAGCAATAAAGCTCGCCACGTTGTCTCGCATGGTTGCGATCCGGCCCCGGGGCACCCTGCAGTAGTAGGGGGTGTTTTCCTCTCTGTAAGAGGCGGACGGCTCTGCCCAATTATCCTCCTTCTCCACTGCATGGGAACTTCTCGCCTCTTGTAGGCGGTTATGTTTTTCTTCTGAGTCAGAAGAACTATGGTCAGAAGAGCTGGAATCGGACTCGTCCCCTGACGAGTCCGAAGAGGACGACTCCTCCCCTCTCCTAGAGGGGCCCGCCTCCTCTCCCTTAGAAGGAGCAGAAGGTAAATTGGACATGTCCACGGTTAGATGAGAAGGGAACACCTTGGTCCCTCTCTCAGAACTGTCAGCTTGACAGTCGCCTCGTTCCACATCTGGCGCCTGGTCAGATGTTTCGCTAAGGAGTACCCTTTGGGAGGAGCCGTCTGAGTTTGATATTCTAGCAGTCTTTTTTGTTCTGGCCATCACGTTCTGCATAGACACAGATTCAGTCGGACTTTGTATAAAGGGCAAAGATGGGTCCAGAAAAGGGCAGGCGGCACTCCTAGTCCTAGATTCAGCCGTCCCCGGTGACCGGCTGATCACTAACTTAGGGCGTGTCGTGTGCTTCCATGGTGCCATTTCAAAAAATAAAAAGAAAATTAAGAGTAAGAGAACTGAGTTACCTGAACGGATGACAGTTGATGAAGTCCTGGAAGTTCGGGTCAGTCGGCTTGTCAGAACAGGCGGTAGGCAGAAAAAGTCCGAAAATGTCAGAGCAAGTTCAGGGGTCCGAGTGTTCTCGCAAAAATTCTCAAATGTGAAAATGACCGAAGTCAGCACTTCCTTTTATAGGCAAAATGAGAAGGCGAAGGGTCGCTTCCGAATTCAAATTTGGGCGGGAGAGTCTCCCGGCCGTCTGCAAGGTGACACCTGTAACGGGCCGTCGCCTGTCACCGTGCGACACCTGTCACAGGCGACACGTGACCAGTCGCGTGCCACCTGTGAGGGGCAAATGATTAGGGGATTTTTATCCACCAAGCGCCGTTTGACAAGTGGACCAACCAGGTTCCGCCACGCGTCCTCCACGGACCACTTAAGACACGCCACGTGTCCACCCATGCCAAATGGGACAACCGGCCATCAAGGCCCATTTCAGTCTAGAAGCCCGATCGGCCCTAGGTTTACCTTAAACCTAGAGAGTTGCACGCTTCCCAAGGCTATAAATACTCGATTAATTCTCATTAATCGAAGGACCGAATAATTAACGGAACACACTAATAACCGGCTGATCTCGCTAGCAAAGCAGATTACCTTCATTAAATACTCTCACCTAGAGAGACCTTATTACTTTAATTTCTGTATTAATTACTCCTTAATCAGGTACTAACTTGACCGTTGGAGGCGGAGCTCTCAGGAGTCTCCGTTATTTTGCAGGTACAGGCGTCCGGTTCCAGTCTCGGAATTGTAACTCTCCCGCAGGACATCAGAAAACCCCGAAACAAATACTACAACCAAAAAACGAACCTGTCGAAGAATCAAACCACATCTTGATGGCCGAATGCTGGCTCTCAACTCTACATGTGCTTGTGTTGCCAAAATGAAGAACTTGGTTTGTCCAAAATGTCACAAACTTCGTTTTATGACAAAGCCAAGTCCTCTCAACATACTCTATCACCTTTGGATAACTTGCCCATTTCAGTTTCATCATCTCTACAGCAGCCTCATAATCCTCCTCGGTTGCAGCGTCCATCACACGTTTCCATCTCCCGTTTTTGAATGTCGCACCGACCTTTTTGCTTTTGAACATATCAGTGACACGAGCCTCAACATCTTTGTTAATATGCCATCGACAAAGTAAGTGCAAGGTCCTTGGAAACACTTCCCTCAATGCTGCAACTAGCCCCAGCTCACGATCAGTCAAGAAAACCGACGGCTCCTTATCAAACCCGATCAAGTCTCTCAATCTCTGCAAAACCCATAGATAGCTGGCCGTGCACTCGTTGCACATGAAGACGTAACCGACGAGGAAATTTTGATTTGTCGGTGTCACACCAACTATCTCAAAGAACGGCATTCCGTATCGGTTGGTCTTGTATGTGGAATCCATACCGATCACATACGGGTACGTCCGTAGGATGTCTACCATGACTGGATGTGCCATGAAGGCGTGCTGTAAAACGCCTTGATCATCAGACAATACCCAGTAGACATACTGACTCTGTCTAGCCAAATGTAGAAATTGCTGAACAACTCCTCTCCCATTTGACATCTCGGTTCTGAAGTCATTTCGGCAGTTGTAGATGTGTCTGATGTTTGGATGATCCTGAGGAAATTGCTCGGCAATAGTCGCCATGATGTTACGCGGTGCTACCTTAGACTTGGTCATGTTACGCACAACCTGCTTCGCTTCCGTGCTTAACCCGCTTATTTTACGATGGCCCTCTGGATACGCAATCATTGGATGGTTGTGGGTCCCAGTTACATCATTTTTCACTGTGATAAACCAACAGTCGTTGACAAAATTGTAAGATATCTTGATGTAGAAAGGACAACCATTGGCTTTGGTTTTCGTGTCCTTCCTTATTGCGTTCTCAAGATCTCTCGGCTTACTCCTGCGTCCTCGATCACATCTTAAATATCGATATGGCCGACCATCCCTCTGTCTGTTGAAAGACGATTTCACCAAAATAAATCCCAGATTTTTTGCAACAGCATCCGCCCAACTAACTGCTTCATCAAACATTCGAAAAACCTTGTCTGTCACGAAACTTGCACTATAATTCACACCGTCACCGTCGTCATCAACCTCCGAATCCTTTAACAATAAACCAAACAAATGAGGCAAATATTAGTATTATAAATTTAATAATAATAATAATAATAATAATAATAATAATAATAAAAACTATAATAACAATAATAAAAATAATAATAATAATAATAATAATAATAATAATATAAATAACAGTAACAACAATAGTGATAATAATTACAATAACAATAATCATGCTAACAACAACAGTAACAATATTATTAATAATAAGAATAATAAGAATAATAACAATAATAATAGTAACAAAAATAATAATATTAAAAATAAAAATATAAAAATCGATAATAATAATAATAATAATAATCATACTACCAACAACAATAACAATAACAATAATAATAATAATAACAATAATAATAATAATAATAATAATAATAATAATAATAATAATCATACTACCAACAACAATAACAATAACAATAATAATAATAATAACAATAATAATAACAATAATAATAATAATAACAATAACATTAGAAATATAAACATAATTAATAATAACAATAACTAACACAATATAATAATACTCACAAAAAAAAATCAGCAAAAATAATATTATGAATTGTGAAAGAATAAAAAAAAAAAAAAACCGAATTTAGGGACTTCCGCCCATTATTTCCGGATCCTAGAGGAAGATCCGCCTACAAAATCCGGAAGATCCTCCTAGGATCCGGAAATTCCAGGCGTATGTTGGGATCCGCCTAGAATTTCCGGATCCTAGGAGGATCTTCCGGATTTTATAGGCGGATCTTCCCCTAGGATCCGGAAATAATGGGCGGAAGTCCTGAAAAAAAAATAAAAATTTAAAAACTACGACTTACATATTCTTCCGACGACTGCTCCAGCGTACTAAAGTTGTCGTCGCTCATCGTCAATAGTGGGCCCCAACTTCCACACTCGGGATTTTAAAAATTGGTCGGAATTACCGTACAATGGTGGTCTCGGGTTTTTTTGTGGGTCGGGATTTTTTAAAGACAAGTGGGGGGTCGGGAATAATATTTAACTTCTTACAAGCTAAAGTGAGTCATGGTGGAGCCTTATATGGAAATAAAACACTCAAGGGCAAAATAGTCAATACACATAAAAATGCGAGCGTCACCCTGTAATTTGCGAACGACGAATAGCAGTTCACTAAAATTTTGACGGGCATCACAAAATTTGAAACTAGAGAGAGAAGAGGGAAATATTACACTCCTTCTATTTCATAATAATTGCAACACTAACACATATGTCAATGTACAAATTTGACTATTAATATTTGTAATTATATATTATTAAAAAGTATAAATGACTAATATAATGGAAATATATATAAAGATTAATCCATAATTTTTTACATGAAAACATATGTTTTTTATATATATTGGTAAAAATTATTGTCAAATTACGCATATAAATAGCGTAAAAGTAAACTACTACATTTATCACTAAACGGACGTAGTAAAAGATTATTAGCATGGTATTGGTATAACTAATGATAATATATAGGAAAAACCAAATACTTCTCATATTTATCTAGTATTTAAAATTTCATTTAATTTTGTAAAAGAAAGTATTTATAGAATGATGGGGCCCACGAATAAGGGGGCCCTGAGCCGTCGCTCAAGGTGCTCCCCCTAATAAACAGCCTTGGTGATAAGAAGAGTAACTTATTAAACTTATAAAGTGCTTAACTCTCTCATCATCTTTATTTTATTAATGTGAGACATTTACATGTGTAGTCTGGGAAGACTATACCTCAACAATTAGAGTTAAAACGAAGAACATATAAACCCCATAAGCAATAATTAAAGAATATGTAGTTTAAATGCAAAGGAATGTGTCTAATCTTCACGTCGAAATTCAAAGAACTACTGTGGTTCAAACCCAACTTTTTATTTAAAAATTAAAAGATCATGCAATGTGTGAAAAGTAAAAATTATAGAGAACAAATAATTCAATGTTATACAGTGGCGGAGCCAGGATTTGTAATCCGGGGGGACAATTTTTAGATGTTTAATAATCGACAATAATTATAAGAAAAAAGAAATTGATCACATAAATTGTTTAATATATATTTGAAATCGCTTATGAGATATGACAATTATTCTTATATGGTGAAAGAGGAGTTGTTAAAAAATTAATTGCATATTAAGAAATTTATTAACCAAATTTTTTTTTTATGCTGGTAAACCCCAATTTTAAGGTATGTAATCCTTAATAATCGATAAATATGATTTATCAAATGATAAGCATTTACACAAATTGATAGTAGATGTAAAGGGATTTGGGTTACATTTTAAAAAAAAAAAATAATAATAAATAAATAAACTTTCTTTGACTAAAAATAAAATTGGAAACTTAGTTCCAAACAAGCTATAAAAAAAATAGAATTTAGGCACACATAATTAGAGAGATAAAAAAATACGGAGACATGTGTTCATTACAAATAGTTTAATAACACATTAGTAATCACTATCAACAAGGCGATACTTGATTAAACAGTTAAATGAGAGTAATTAGAGGTTTGAAGACTTATAATACTTTGTATATATAAATTACATACTATATAATGAAATTTAAAAATCAGTAAAAAAAATGGCAAAATCCAAAAACAAGAAAAAGAAGTTAAATAGGAGCACTTTGTATAAACTATAAAATGAAATAAAAATAAAGTCCAAAAATAGCAAAAAGAAACAAAAAAAATGATCGGGTAAAGAATCGAACCTAAGATCAAAGAGAAATACAAGCTTTACTCAAGCCCATCAACCACCAGACCAAATGTTGTCTTTGTTGTATAAGGTATACATGTAAGGTATTTATTCTTATTTACAGCATTTATTTAAGCTAACATAAATTAATTTTTTTTTTGGAAAAATGGGGGGACAACCGTCCCCCCTTGTTCCTACATGGCTCCGCCCCTGATGTTATATAATATATGTATTTAGTGGATGTCCATTACACCCTTATGATTATTCTAGGATATTCTTGATATACTAGACCTATTATTCTAGGATATATATATATACACTCCCACATCATTCATTAATAAGAATATCGATCTATTCTCTCCCCCACTTTTCTTCTTTCTCTTTAATTTCATAACACGTTATTAGCACCATGCTCTAACCATCTGGATCAAGTTTCGTTCCCAATAACTTCTTCAATTCTCTGCCAAATATTAATATGAGTGAGCAATGTCGGCCACCCTTAAGTGAGTTAAATTAAAGGGAATCTATTTCCAATTGATAAATATAATCGCATATTGCGTATAATTATACTCATTGATTTAAGGTTTTATTTGATTTCGAAGTCCGCAACCAAATTAGTGGGATAATAATGTTGATGTGCCATTATATATCGATGGAAAGACATCACACGCATTATCTGATATCGTGATGACTATAAACGGGGTAATAGCAAAAAGCAGTTGAATTAAGTTTTATTATTTTCAAGATTTTGCTAATAAACCCACAAGCATAATTCGGGCTACAACTTTGACATCCGATGAGATTATGTGGGAGAGTTGACTCGAAGGCCATACAACATCATGTATAAATAAGAAGACGGAAGACAATTGTAGGCGTACAACGTACTACATCTTATTAAATGAATGCACACAATCAGGAAATTTCCTTCTCAATTTATCATCGGAAATCTCTAAATTTACATAATATGTTTATTATGTTGACATTTTTTATTTTACATATGTTTATTATTATGATGCTCTGCTTGGCATTGTGGGATGAGTTGATTTAGTTTTTGAAACTAATTAACATAAGTATTAGACAGAGGATGAATCTCTTATTAAAAGTATATGAAGAAACACTAACTAAAATATATGTGCTTTATTATATATTAGGAGGGTAAGGAAATATATGGTTGATTTAACAATAATACCAATGTTTAAATGGAGTGAATTGATACTGGACAAATCTCCAATTAGAGGAAATAAATCAGCAATACAGACCAATTATGCTATTAAATTACGGTCTAGTGTACAAGAAATAAAACTATCTGGTACAATAATATGATAGATCAAACCCTGACCACTCTTGATTTTGCTTAACAATCACCTGATGATTCCTTTATGTTGGTGGGTCTCCTAGCTATATCCAAAACAATTGTCTTCTGCCATATATAGTTCCCTATAATTGTATCTTTTGCCCAATTCAACAATTTTCATGAGAGAACGTTTTTCTTTAGATAATGGTTTTTCTTGATTGTTGTTCTATTTTTGGACTATATTGCATACTATAAAAACGTTATAATTTCATATGTGATAAATGATAGCAAAGATTTTAATCTGTTTTGAAGAGGCTGTGGATCTTGAAAAATGCTAGTGACTTTATAACAATTATGAAATGCTATATATTATACTAGTAGATATTTCAATCAAATAATCATTCATTAAGTAAACTGATAATTATGCCACTATAATTTATCTATTTCATGTTTCGCCTGCTGATTTTAGGGTTATCATTAATTAGCCTTATCGTATGTTTTTTTTATGTTATGTGTATGTCATATGTTCACTAATGATAATCTAAGAAGATTTCAATTACTCGTGATAGGATTTATTTTGAATATATCTATCTAAGCTATTTCCTAAAGCCGCATTTATAATTTTTATTTGTCATGCTATTTTTATATCTTATACTCCATATTATAGATGGCGTGCGTTTGGTATATTGATATATTAATTAAGTTCACTCCTAAGGAAAGTACATATTGGTTGATAAATCTATCTAAGGTAGTTGCTCAAGGAGCCTAACATTGATTAAATTAGTGATTTTGATGAATATGAATTTAATTTTGTGGAGTAAATTTTTATGGGAATGCAATGAAGTCTTTGACAATGATCATAATATGTCGGTACTTTATGAGTGAGATTATTTGAATTTGGGTGATACATAATTTCATTGATCACAAGAATATCTATTTACATATATTTGACGTCATTATCAAGAATCAAAATTTATGAGTACCTTTATGAGTGATATTACTTACACTTGAGTTAATTGACCTTATGAATAATAGGTTTAAAAAATATTTACCTTATAATCAAGAACTAATATTTATGAGTATGATTTGGTTTTTTTTATGATATGTAGCATTATATTGTTTCTAATTACCCTTATAAATGAGATTGCTAATATTTGCATGATGTCAAATCTCTAAGTGAGTATTGAAGATACATAAATTACTAGATTTACTCACTCCATAAGTAAATGAGAGTTCATGTGATTGAAAGAAAGCATGTTTGCATGATGTTTTCGTGATTACAATTCATTGAAAAGCTCAATTAGAATAGCAAACATGATTACATATCAACTATTGGACCAAGAAATAATGTTTATGAGTTTATAAAATGCAAAATAACATTGTGAGAAACTTTACATGATCAAAGTTTTATTATGCCCATAAATATAAGAGGTTTCGTTTTTTTTTTAAGATGAATGTAATTGGGCAAGAGGAACATGATTAAGTGTTCTATAAGTATAATTTTATCTAAGCATGTTTTTGCTAAAAGGAACACGTTACTTGATACATGATATTGCCAATAGAATTTATAGCTTAAAAGGTGTTGAGATTTTAAAGGTTGTTGGATTGATTTCATACCCCATATGCAAGGATTAGGGGGAGATTGTAAGTAATCCTTGCACATAAAATAATAAAATATATTGATGGTCAGTTTGATACATACATTAACTCAAATATCAACGATTTATCTAATAGAAGTGGTCACATGTTAATTATCTATTTTGAAATGATACCATCCTGAAGATGGATATAAATAAATGCCATTGATTATATACTAGTTGTAAATGCTCCAATTAAATTGATGTCCAGAAGGACAACATCAATTGCTGATGAACCTATAGCATGCCTAAAGCATGATAGATCAATATGTTCCAAAGATAATTAAGTATCTTTGAAAAGGAAAGGAGTCATTATTGACAATGACAAATTTGAGGAAGTGATAAATTCCATTACATTTCTTGAAGAAATCACTTTTAGTAAAATTTATATGTTCCATGATTATATAAAAGACTCCAGGAGAGTATAAAATGTCTAACAAGATTAACATGTATCAAAATTATAGTCAAAACTCTAGCAGAGTATGAGTAATTATTGGATAAAATATTAGATGGTTGTCTTGTCAATTGTATAAAGAAATACATGTTGATGTTCTAATATCACATCATACTCATGGCCATGCATAAAGTAAGTTTAATAAAGTGATCACTAGTGTTGGAAAACTGACTAGAGATCAATTTCAGAGATGTGATTGGATGTGATGATTAAATTAGGCCATCCAGGTTCAATAAATACCTGTTATGGAAACCTGAAGTTTCATTTGATAATGTGCTGACACTCTCTCAATGTTAGATATATGAAATGAATTGAATGGCAAGACATAACATTGAGATTGAGCTATCATAATTTGTGTTGATGAAAATTTCAAGAGTTAATAGGTTTTGATTTTCATATATACGAAAGAGCAATAGGTGACCAGAAGTTCACCAGAATAACTTATATATTATTGTCAAAGTATTAGGTGACCAGAAGCTCACCAAATACACTATTTAAGTCTTCAAATATCTAGAAGATCACCACCTAGTAGAATTACAAGCAAGTGATTTACGCTTGTATACCATTTCTTTTGATTGGGGCTATTATATGTCAGCATATAAGAAATAGAAGAAGAAAGAAAAACGTACAACTGCACAGCACATGTCTCCCAATTGACATTGATCTCCAGAAGAGAACATATTATGGAAATTGTAATAATAAATACACATGCAATGTAAAGTTAATGAAGAAATGATTCTTCATTGAAATTCTTCTCCAGAAGAGATAAATGTTGTTTAATAAAAATCTTCTGAGAGATAAATTTTGATTGTAATCCTCGCATGAAATGAATTTTAATGCAAATTTATATACAAAGTTGGTATAGAATTAGACGCCCCTATAAATGAGATATTTTACCAACTTAGGGGAAGAAGAGTCAGGAAAAATTGGAAAATTGAAAAGAATTTGATGATCCCTATAATGGTAGTTTGAAAATTTATATGCCAACTTTTGTCTATATATTATCAAGATATGTTGCACATTTATGATTTGATTTATATTCAGTTATGACTCATGTTGCATAGCATTGAAGATACTTTTTGGTCATGTTATGTGTATACATTGAGATAAAATCTTGCCAATTATACTTGAATCACTACACCTGAAGTGTGGGTTGTATGATCGGTTCCAAAATAAAGATATGATATATGTGGCCAGATAGTGCAGTTAACACTTTTAATATTGTAATAGTATATAAATACCATAGTGTATGAAATACCCAAAAAGTGGTATAGATATCTGAATTATTACAATAGATGGCCTATGATGTAAGAAAAGTTATGATGGTACCAATGAAAAATGTATTCAAATATCATTGTCAAAATAGCATGCAAATTAAAATTGTACCTTGAGGAATTATATGATGATACCGGTATATGATGGAACCGATATATAATATGCATATGCAGAAAGAATGGACTTGTGCATAAGGGATTAGAAAATATATGTCCATTTTTATGTCGACATGAAACTAAGATAATACATCAAAAATTTATCATGGACTAGTAGTCCAATTAGAAAATGGATTTATGAAATCCACACTGTACAGTGTTCGCATTTTTGAGTTTATTTATGTGCATGTTTGAGTTTTAAATTTATGAATTACTCATTGTATATATAGGATGTAGTTTGATGCATTACTCATTACATATATATATTTTGTTTAATGTTTTATCATGAATTCTACATCTCATATTGCATGCATTAGTTCTATACAACAATTGTGTTATATGTGAATGTTTATGGTATGACGAGTTTATAATTATGATGAAGGCTTACAAGAAGAAATTTATACTCCGATGGGTTTATAATTGTGATGAAAGTTTATACGATGATGATCCAATATCATGTTATGAATCATGCATGAAAAGTTCCCGCAAAACTTATATACAACGTATTCAAATATCTAGCCCTTCAAATTCTATATTCTGAAAAATGATAATGTTGATATTGTTATCAAACTCATGGAGAGTATTGGTGACTAAGTTATTGAAATATCAACCTGAAGTTTAACCAAGTGAGAGTTAATCGATTTTTATATTCATTGGAAAACTCTCGTATAAAATGCAAAATGTCTAAAGAAGAATAGTAATGAGATATATTATAGTAAGAATCGTCTTCTTACGGTCCAGAAGAACCATGAGTAAAGTATATAATAATACTTATGTTATATTATTACTAATTCATATAAGCTTAGATAATGATATCAAGATATCACGGATTACCATAAATTATTATCAATATTTGATTATCAATAGCTACTTTTACGACCTCTAGAAGTAGGCATAATTTTGATGGTAAGGCAACTTGAAACAAAAAATGTCATATAAGATAGTGGTAAACGCAACATAGGTATTATTCTCACAAGTATGGATAAATGAAGATGTTTTACAGTGAAGATTCGGGTTTGATCAGGTAGGATCAACTATCAAGGAATGTTATTCAGCTACAAGTGTGAAGTTCCTAAGGCATTGAATTCATTTCATTGGAAGATCTCAAGTTATGCATTCATCAGGGGGAGAAAATATGCGTTCCACTCTTTTTCCGTTAACCATGGTTTTGTCCCACATTGAGTTTTCCTGGTAAGGTTTTTAACGAGCCAGTATGTCAAGGCGTATTATGAAAGTGTTGTACTCTTTTTCTTTACTAGGTTTTTATCCCATCGGGTATTTCCCAGTAAGGTTTTAATGAGGCACACTATTCGATAATGGTCATCCAAGGGGGAGCGTTATATAATATATGTATTTAGTGGATGTCCATTACACCCTTATAATTATTCTAGGATATTCTAGATATACTAGACCTATTATTCTACAAGGAAACCCTAATTGTATCACATGTATATATATATATATATATATATATATATATATATATATATATATATATATATATATATATATATATATATATACTCCCACATTATTCATTAATAAGAATATCGATTTGTTCTCTCTCCCACTTTTCTTCTTTCTCTTTAATTTCATAAAATTCAAAATATTTTATTTTTTTTTTTAAAAAAAATAGGTTGCTATGTTCTCCGGATGCACCATGAGTATTGTGCGCCAAATAATTTTGCTTCTGAGATGTACGCATTTTGATTATATTTCACTTTAATCTTTTTTTTTTTTTTGGGTGAAGCCAAGGGGCAAGCCCCAAAGGAAGAAATAAGAAGACTACAAACCAGAAAGCAAAAGAAAACGCAACAAAAAGCAAAAATAAAGCAAATAAACTAACAAACTACTACTCCCTGACTCAAGACCCAACTTAGCTACTCTTCCGACTCATCCTAGGAATAGCTAGACCTGGCAATCCTGACCCAGATTTGATGACCCGACTCGAATGACCCGACCCATGACCCGAAATTGACCCAAAAACATTGACCCGAAACCCGAAATTGACCCGATCTGACCCATACTCGACCCGAAAATGGAGTTGACCCGATCCTGACCCAACACCCGAACTGACCCGACCCGAAGTTGACCCGACTTAAAATTGACCTGAAGTGTTTGACTCGAACAAACCCGATACCCAAAATTGACCCGAACAAACCCGATACCTGAAATGTCCCGAACTAAAATTACCTTATAACTGAACTAAAAATGTCTTGTACCAAAAGTAACTCAAATTGTTCATCTTCAACCGTAGCTAAGCTCATAAACTGAATTTATAGTTTTTATTATAATAATAACAAAATATATACTCCGTATAAAATTATTCATTTGAGCTTGATTCACAAATGAAACAATCCGAACATGACCCGACCAGATTTTAACCTAGCCCGAATATGACTCAAACATACTTGACCTGAAATTGACCCGACCCGAACTTGACTCGATACCTGACCCGAAGTTGACCCGAGACCCGAATCGACCCGACCCGATCCGAATGTTAGCTGACCCGAATGTTAGCTGACCCGAAATGACCCGACCCGAAAGTGACCCGACCCGAATGACCCATTTGTCAGGTCTAGGAGAATAGCCATTCGAAATTGCCTCAAAAAGTACCATTTTTTGCTCGAAGGTAACTCCATAGTTAGCGAGCCAGTCCGCATTTTGATTATATTTCACTTTAATATTTTATATAATACCTTCCAAAACTTATCTTTATTAAGCAAGACAAGACCATACAATTCAAAATTTAAAAAAAACAAAAAATTTATTAGGTTTGTTTGGCATTGTTTTTTGTTTTCAGTTTTTTGTTTTATTGAAAACAAAAAACCAAAATCAAGAAAGAAGAAAAGGATGTTTCCACTTTTCTGTTGTCAGTTTTCAAAATTATCATAATTTTAATAAGTTTGACTAATTTTTGATTTATTATATGACATACTTCCTCCATTCTTTTTTACTTGACTTGTTTCTTTTATCACACTTGCCTTGCAAAACTTAAATGATCAATAACTTTAATTTTCCATAAGTAAAAGTAATAAAAGTTATATATTATGATAGTACTTATTGAGACGAATTTAAAAAAATCCCTCATGAATATGTTTTTTCTTACATATTATTCACAAAAGGCTATCAAATTAACAGAGGAATTGTGAACAGTGTAAAAGTTAAAGCAGATCAAGTAAAAAAAACAAAGAAAGTATATCATATAATTTCCAAAAACAAAAAACCAAAAAAATAAGAACCACAACAATGTCAAACGAATAAAATTTAGTTTTGTCAATAAAAAAAAATATGAAACCTTATCTTAAGATTAGTGGAAACCAATTTATGATGATGGCATACCAATTCTTAATACTTAAAGCTGATCTTGCTATAGAGAGTTAACATCTGTTTTAGTTTTCGAGAGAAACAAAAACATAGGCAAAAAAGACCTAATTAACCAAAATACACAAGGCAACTTTGGAGCTTCTAAGTCATTAGTATCCCTGCAGTTAAAAGAGACGAACTTCATTGATCAGATCACTCGGGAGTTGTGAAAGGCCAGCCGCCCTACCCAAGTGAGTATCGACATTCATGTCCTCATGTGATCACCCAAGTGATGTGCTTCATCTGATAAAGAATCCTTCACTGGCATACATTATTGTTTCTTTAAGAGCTAAAAAGCATGCCTAAGCTCTTGTATAAGTCATACTTCGTACAATTTTATCAAGCTGAATCGGTGTTTAATGATAATTTAGCAACAAAATTGGAATTTAAGCTCCCTAGGTAGAGGTTGTCCTCATACTCCACAGCCGAAGTCACAAAAGACACGACCGTGCCATCAGGATCGTCGAACCTCTTCAGTATCTTACCGTCTTCTGAAACCTTCATCACAGTTGCTTTCTTGTGAGAGGCTTGGACAAACTTTATCAATCTCGGAAATGTTGCTAGCAAATGTTTCGCAATCTTGGAGGTGTGCACAAACTTCATTGCTTTGTTCGACAACTGTTCGGAGTACCAACAATGATTAAGCATTAGTTGCTAGTTAACATATTTTGGTATATATTGTGATATCAAATATCTATACTAATTAATTTATTAAAAGATGTCGCATTTCAAAAAACCAACACGTACAATGTCATTGCTTGATTATTTTCCTATCATTTTAACATGACTAAGATCGAACTTGTGCATGGCATAGAACATCAATTTAAGCTCATGCTTTAAACTTGTCTTAGCTTTATTAATGTTAAGGATTTTTTTGTTAAGAAACTACCTAATAAAATATAGATTTTGTGAGAAACTACCTAATAAAAAAATTGTTGTAAGAAACTACCTGATAAAAGATAAAATGGTGTAAAAAATTACATATGACCGGATTTTCACAATTGATATAATTTTTCGGCGTTGACCTATATCTCAAAACGACCCCAAAACCACCGCGAAGGTTGGTTTCAAGGTGATAAGGCTATTTTTGGGGTGGTTAAGGGATATTCTGAGTTGGTGAGGGTAGTTTTAGGCTACAAAATCTTGGTTTTGGGGTAAGAGGTGGTGGTTTCGGTGTGGTAGAGGCAGTTTCAAACTGATTGTGTTGATTTTGGAGATGAAAGCGGTGGTTTCGAAGGTGTTTTGAGGTGAGTCAACGTCAAAAAATTAGGTCAATGGTGGAAATCTGGCTAGAGGTAGTATGTTAAAACATTTTACCTTCTAATAAGATAATTTCTTACAATATTTTTTTAGGTAGTTTCTCACAAAATCTGTGTTTTATTAGCCTATTAAGTAGTTTCTGACCAAAAAAAAAATAAAATCCTAATATTAACTCACAGAAGAAAGTTCATGTTTGGAAGCATCATATTATTCATATACGAGTACGTACCTCTATCACTGCAATCCAAAACGACCCATCAGGAGCAAGATTAATATTATCGGGTGCTCCTGGAAGATTATCTATAAATATCTCAGTAGTCCCCTGAAGATCGCCTTTTAACCAATGTTTTAAGCACCTTGACCTGAAAAATTTAGTATCACAGGTCACCACAATTATCATTAGTCCAAACTCACATGATAAATCTACTTCTATTACATATGAAGTACATTTCATGTCACTGCAAAATAGTGTTTTAAGATGCCTGAAAAAAAAAAGTCAAATTTTATGATATAGTAATGGTTTCGTAATATTGGTATATTACTACTTTAATCCAATGAAGGAGATAATACATTGTAACGAATTAAGAAATTGCTCAAACTGTAAGGGTTAGGAAAATAAGACAAGTAACAACTAATTCCGAAGAGAGAGAGTAATATATAATATCGATAGACATTGATAGATCATACTCACTTCCACGTTTCGCACACCAAAAGGTAGCGTTGGTCACTTGAGAGGGCTACTCCATTTGCAAAATAAAGATTATCTAACAATAATGAAGTCTCTTTGGTTTGAGGATTAAACTTGAGAAGCTGGCCATTAGGTTTGGCTTCTAATAAATCAAAGAACCAATTGTGGAGACCAAATTTAGTGCTTGCTATGCTAAAATACAAGCTTCCATCTTCCCCTTCTATCACATCATCTGCAAACCTGTTTTCATATGCTAATTAATTGGTTATTCATATGCTAATTAATTGGTTACATAAGAACAAATTCAATTATTCAGGATCTTCTTAAAGAACAAGTTCAATGATTGAAATTATTTAACATATAAATATTCTTAAAGTTTAGTTTTAATGAAATTATACCAAGTAAACACAATATTTGGTGCATCTCTTGTTTTGGTATTATCTTAAAGAGTCAACCATGACACTGTCACTTTTTTTCATAATTCTTTAAGTATAGAGAGGTGAGGTATAGATTCTTAAATAATAATAATAATAATAATAATAATAATAATGATAATAATAATAATTTCCCGTCAAAAAAAAAAAATAATAAATTAAAACATTTAGGTTATAATTGGTTGATATCTAATCGGTTTTGCAATAGCCTAAAAAAAACGTTTTAATTGGATATTTATTTGACTCGAATTCGAAGCTTTTTAGATATGCATGGGCCATGGGCCTTACTGGAGTCTTTTTTTTCCCACCCTTGTGGCCCATGGGCTATGCTTAATTGCGCATCAATATTATTTGTATTGGTTGTGCATCCTTTTCATAATAAATAAACTTAATAAATCTACTCAAATAAATGACTAAGGCTCTGTTCTTTTGAGCTGTTCTGCCCTACCCTGCTGAAATCTACTCTACTCTGCTGAAATTTGCTTTGTCCTGCTCTACTCTGCCCTGCCCTGCTTTGCTTAAAAATAATAATAATTATTTTTAATATTTAATAATAATAACTAATAATTGTATAGATAATAATAATTAATATTTAATAATAATAATAATTAATATTTTATAATAATAATAATTAATATTTTATAATAATAATAATAATTGTTTGGGTCCAATTCACCTCAATTGGGCCGGTCCACAAATGATACAATTTGAAGCCCAAAGCAAGGTTCAACTCTCCAACTCGTGCCAAGTTAGCCAAAACATGTCAATGGCAAGCCCATCTGACCTACGGCCCACTTATCCATCAACTCAAGGTATAAAAGCCTCCAAGTAAGCCAAAGCAAGGGATTCTGACTAAGTTCCTCTCTCATTCACTCTTACACACTAAAAGCGTTTCACTCTAAGGGCTCTTTGGTACTGCTCTACCTTAAACACATTGCCAACTTCGGCATCGGAGGGGCCTTCCTCGGCACAACCCCCCAGGCTAGTTTACGTGTGCTCATTGTGCAGGAAATCCTCGGCCAGCCGCAAATAGGACTGAGACCAGTCTTCTTCCACCGAAAAGGGCCTGCTGAAGGTCCAATTGTTTTCATACCGAAACAATTTGGCGCCGTTTGTGGAGAGGATACACAAAATTAAGCCAAAATCCAACCAATCTTAGCAAACAAACATGACTAAGAGTGGAAAAAGTACCAAGAGTACTAAGAAAACCGGTCCTTCCTCTTCGAGGAAAGGTCCCATAATGGTAGGGGGGAATCCACCCACTCCACCATCATCAGAACCTTTTTCTTCTTCAAAAGCTCCCTCTTCCCTGGAAAGGGCAGCATCGGAGAAGTCTCCATTGCAGCACATTCGCCAGTCGACAAGCTCGTCTCGGCCGAATCAATCAACTGCGAAAAGTCCTCCTCCACAAAGCTTACATTCTCATTCTCAACTGAGAACAACCCCCCAAACGGGGCCCTCTACGGAGTAAATGGAGAGAGCTGTCGCGGTCTTCATGGATTTCATGAAGGCCCAAGCAGGCAACTTTCCACCACCTCATGGTCACTCACCTCTTCCGCCAAGAAACCTGAGAAGGAGAACTGGCCGAGAGGAGAGTGATTAAGTCCCATCCTTTAAGGAGGTTGGGGAAAAATGGGAGGAGGACACCTAGAGGACCGAGCGGGAAAGGAAAAAGAATCCCCGATTTTTTAAGAGATTCCAAAACTCGGGACTCCAGGAGTTACGGAAGCAGCAATTCCACCTCAGCGTGGCAAGAACCTGCTCGTCGAAGCGCTCATGAACGTCTAGGGACAAAAACCACTTTCACCTCTCTAAGAGGGGGAAGTGAGGTCCCTTCGGCTAGACAGAAAAGGAAGGTCGTTATGGTTCCTACAAGTTCACCTTTCCAAAGCTGGATATTGGAAGAGCATGTGCCAACGGTGAAAATCCCAGCGCACATCACCTATGATGGTACCTCGGATCCAAAGGACCACATCGCCTCCTACGAGGGGCACATGTATCTGAACCCCAAGTCCGAAGCGACTTGGCGCAAATACTTTCCGACCACTCTTAAAGGTGTTGCGCAAGCATGGATCACCAAGGGGGTGAAGGAAGGTTCAATAACGGGTTAGAAAGACCTTTCCAACAAGTTTAAAAGCAAGTTTTCTATGACGAACTGCCGGGAGAAAACAACTGCGGAACTTATGAGTCTACAGCTAGCAAAAAGAGGACGAGAGCCTCCGAGACTATTTGACTCGCTTCAGCAACGAGTCATCGAGAATCACAAGTCTGGATCAGGGCCTAGCCGTGTTTGCACTACGGAATGGCTTACAAGCTGGCAAGTTCCTCGACTTCATGGTCATGCACCCACCGCAAACCTTGGAGGAAGCTCTGGAAGCTTCGGATAAATACATCCGAGCTGAAGAGTGGAACAAAACCAAATCTCAGTCCCAGACCGGGGCTAGGAAGGCAAAAGGACATTAGTCCGAAGACTGGGACCAGAGGAAAGGGAAGGCGAAAGCCTCAGAACCGTCCTCAGTCCTGGAGCCGAAGAAAGAAAGCTCCTCGTTCACTGAGAAATACGATTCTTACACTCCACTCGCCCTTCCACGTGCTAAAATTTATAGCATAATTAAGGACGAGAGGATGTTCAAGAAGCCGAAGCCACTTTCATCGTGGCATCAACAAAGAAACAAGGACCGATGGTGTGAATTCCACGAGTCTTCTAGACATTGCACCGAGGATTGTATCCAGTTGAGAGATCAGATTGAGGATATGGTCCGAAAAGGTTACTTAAAAAAATATCTCGCGGATCGTCATGAGGAGAAAAGAGCCGAGAAAGATCCTCAGCAAGAGCTGAACTTCCCTCGGAAAAAGGACAAGCCGTAAGGCAATCCAGCCATTTTTGTCAACTCCAAAGGATTCAGTTCTCAAGAAGAGCAGAATCTGCAAATTCTATAACCAAAGAATCAATGCAAGACCTCTCAAAATTGGGGATCTGGTTCTTTGGAATGCTGACATATTGAAAAAATTATGTGTATGCCCTTCAGGGAAGAATAACCCATGTAAGTGCATCTCTTTCAATCAATGAAAGGCCTGCGAGCCATTACTTCTTTCAATTCAGCAAGTTTCTATTTTTCCGTCTTCTACGTTTTTGAAATTCAAGGTTTTCTTCGGCGCTGCTTGAAGTACCACCTAGTAAGGCATCGTATTTCGGCAATTCGTGAGAGCCTTCCAAGACAAGGAGAAATGATAAACCCCTAGAGTACTGCTTAGTGAAGCATTGTACTTTGGATGAATCAGTTCCTCCGGGCAAAAAGCAAGGACGAATCTGAAACATTGCCTAAAAAATAGGAGCTGATTAACCCTCGAAGTATTGCCTAATGAAGCATTGTACTTTGGACGAGTCAGTTCCGGGTGTTGATAAAATCCCGAAGTATTGCCTAATGAAGCATTGTACTTCGAACGAATCAATGCCCTGGTACTTGTGCTTCAGAGGAGTCATTTCCAATAAAAACATAGCCTAAAAAATAGGAGCTGATAAACCCCCGAAGTAGTGCCTAATGAAGCATTGTACTTCGGACGAGTCAGTTCCGGGTGTTGATAAAATCTCGAAGTATTTCCTAATGAAGCATTGTACTTCGGACGAATCAATGCCCTGGCATTAATGTTGAGGATAAGCATTCCCTCAGATGAATTATAAGGATCACAAGAGTATTGCTCTCGGAGTCTACGACTTCTGAGCAAGAAATCAGACCTTTCAAAAACGAAAGTAGAAGAAAAACGAAAATGAGCAGAAACTTCAAAATCTGAATTGTCACGAAAATTCGCACCAAGGCAAAAGTCTCGGCTGCATCAAAAGAAGAGCTAAATCAAACACCCCAAAAACCTGAAGATCTCATTTTTAGATTTCTAAGGGGGGCAAGAGGCACTCAGCTAGCCAGTTCCGAGCCGAAGCTTAGTACTTAGAAAAATTTTAAAAGTTGAAAAATCTGAGTAGAAGGAGCAAGGCAAGCAGAATGAAAGCAAATTAGTGCACTCGCAGCAAATTTTGAAGATCTCAGCCGAAAATATTTCCAAGCCGAAGTTCAACACTTAGAAAATGTTTGAAGAAATTCAAAAGAAGCAGCTAAGTAAAGAAAACAGGGCAATAGAAGAGAAAAGCTGAGAAAAACTTCAAATACATTCAAACCGAGGATTTCTAGTCAAGTAAAATGAAACCTTAAATCGGCAGCCGCCCACAAGCGGAAAGCACAGCTACCGAACTAAGTACAAAGCAAGCAAAAATAAAGGTTTTGTACAAATTCAAGGCAAGCTGAAAGCAAAAACAGAGGCAAAAGCAGATGCGACAATAATCAATTAAGCACAAATTGATCCGCAAGATTCTGTTGACGACTGCACGAGTTCCTATGCTTCATCATCGACAGGATCAGCGCTCGGAGCCTTGGAGGTCTCAGCACCAACAGAAGATGAGGCAAGTTGAGCAATAGCTTGTTCTTTCCTTGCAACCTCTTCTTCTTCTTGAGCCTCTACTTCGGCTTGACGAGCCAAGAAAGCAACTTCAGCTGGGCTGGCCTCATTCATGTGAGCATCATTTGGATCCATAGACAAAGCCTCATCTAAATCCCACTTAATCTCGGGATCAGCATGAAAAGCCAATCGCTGAGCAACTATAAAGCCATTCTCAAAGCCCTCTTCATACTACTCTTGGGTGTAAACCCAAACTTCTAGCAATTGTTGAGCAGCTTCTAGTTCAGCTCGGATTTTGGCAGCTCCTTCTCTCTGGGCCTTTAGCTGGCTTTGGGCATCCTTGCCTTTCAGCTCATCCCTTAGCCACTGGTTCTCGGCCTCCAGCTCAGATTGCTTCACTTTGGCCTCGGCTTTAGCTTGAGCAGTCTGACCCATAAAGTCCTCGACCTTGAGACGCCGAGTCTCAACCACTCTCTGCACCCTCTGCTCAATCCGGGCTTTGAAGTCAAAAATATTTTCGGCTCCGTATTCTTGAATTAAAGCATGACCTTCGTCCAACCATGGAAAAATGGTCTACTCTAAATCCTAGCAGAAGGTGCGGAAGTTGGTACTCATAGAATCGATCTCAGCCTAAAGGGCCGAGGCAGCTTCTTCGGCATCCAACCTCTTCAGCTCAGAGATTCTGGCCTGGCCCTCCGCCTCTTCAGCCTTATCAGCCTTTGCTTTCAATTCATCATTCATCTCCATGGCCAGAAAGTGGTTATGAACGACCTAAAAAGATAAGGAGAATGGATCAGGCGAAGTAAAAAATTCCCGAGCCGAATCTTAGTACTTAGAAAAATTTCGCAAAAATTTGAAGAAAATCCTAAGTAAAAAGAGCAAGGCAAATGGGAAGAGAAAAAGAAACTTAAAGAAACTTAAGCAAAAAAGCTTAAGTATGGCAAGATTACCTGCATCAGCAACCTTTGGTTCTCTAAAAAGGGGTCTGAAACTCTAGCAAGTGGCTCAGATGCCCCAGATGCTGCTCCCGCAGTCCAAACTCTGGCCCTTTCTAGCTCCTGCATATTTGAAAGATTGCCGAAGTACTCAGTGTAGCCGAGCTTCGCTTAGATTCGAAAAAGTTTCGAGCATGCTCAGGAACAGGCACCAAAGGGGCAGAGCCGAACCCTATATTGGAGGATTGAAAAGTCTTGAAGGACTCAACAACCGAGGTAGAAGGTACATCAACATTTTTGGCCTCTTCAACCTTCTCTTCTACCACGGTTTCCTTCGGACCATCCTCGCTCAGAACTTGTACTTCGTCCTCAAGATTGACATGCAGTGCATCAACCTCCCTCCGAACCTCATCAGAAAAAGGTTCGGCTACGTGCCGAGGGGCAGAAGGAGGGGTCTTTGTAAAAGTTTCCTCCTCAGCACGGATCTCAGGAAGGGGAGGATTCATCTCTTTCCATTCCTCCGGCTTGTCCTCCTCAAGCCAAGGCTTCTTTATTAGAGGAGGGGAAGCCTGGAACTGCCCAGGCAGAACAACTTGCCTCTTCCTCCTAAGGCCTATCTTCGTTTAAAGAGAGATTTGCTTCAGCTGGCTCTCCTCTATTCTCTTCTCCTTCCTCAGACTGCAGCAGAAGGAATAGGGGGGCAAAGAGTAGTATAAGCACCAAAAAAAAAAAAAAATCCAAGCCGAAGCTTAGTACTTAGCAAAATTTTGAAAAAATTTCGAAAGAGAAAGCTGAGTAGAAGGAGAAAGGTAAAAGGAAAAAGCGAAAAAGAGAAGAAATCTAGACAAGTCTTGAAGCCTTACCGAAATCTTCAGCTGGCGCTCGTCTTCAAAATCTTCCTTTTCTTCAACTCCTTCTACCCTCGGCCCAGGTGTGGTCGTAGAAGAAACAGCTCCGCTTCGAGAGATTGCAGCGGCGATAGTTGCAGCTACGTCTTCTTCGGCGGAGTGAAGGAAAAAAAGGTCGACTAACTCGAACCAAGGCCTCTCCGTCTGGTACTCGAGAGCGCTGACTATTTAAAGCCTCCTCGGTTGCAAGGAAAAGGGCTCGGTCCTTTGAATCATTGATCTTCAGGGTGTTTGTGATCGGATTCCTTTCCTGGCTGATCCCAAGCACTTCGTAATCAATGCCCGAGTTTTCTTCGCACAACTCTGAAAAATCAAAGGGACAACAATCAGCTTGGCCGAAAAGATTAAGCATAAGAGAGCAAGAAAATATGAAAAAATAACAAAGCCTCGGCCCCAACCGAATATCTTACCGCCTTGGTATCTTCGGCTGAGGCCGACAACGGCAAGAATCTTCTCTTAGAAGATATAGTGGCAGCAAGGCAGCCAGATGGTTGGCATATTCGCCATTTGGCCAGTGGCCCCGGGCATGTGACTTCGGCCAAAGAGCTCCATCTGTATGTGATCAGCATCGGTGAACTCATCAGGGGCGATGCTGGACATTTTGGGATCTAGCTTCCTTAAGTATCGGGGACCGTCGAAATAATTCGGATGATCTTCATCTGATGGCGCCCGAATCCAGATCCACTGCCCTCTCCAATCCTTGTTCGAAGTATCATTCGGATAAGTCGAAAGGAACCTCTTTTCGTCTTCAATTTTCCACCAGCCAGGGCCATGCCACTTATTGGACTGGGTGTTCGGCATCAGCTTATGTGTGCAGCAAAAGCAATGCATGCTCGGCTCTAGCCCGTAAAACAAGCAAACCCAGAGATAAGTCATTATCCTTCGGATGCTCACGGGAGTCAACTGAGCAAGAGAAATGTTGTACCCATTCAACAACTTCAAAACAAAGGCATGGGCAGGGAACCGAAGCCCATATTGCAGCTGCCGAGTGTAAACCCCAATATATCCGGGTGGAGGACAATGAATTCTTTCCTCGGCAGAGGGCATTCGGCACCAATATCCGTCCTCCTCCATTATGCCATAGAACACTTCAAGTTATTCGGCAAAGCAATACTTGCCGTCATTCTCGACCCACCATGAATAAGGCGCAGCAGTCATTATGCCCTCATTCTCCTGGACATCAGTCCACTCATTTTCCTCGGGAGTCAACGACCTAGATGTCGAAGTCGCTCTTCGGCCGAAGGTACTGACTCCTTTAGAATCTCTCGGGGGTACTCTAGTGAGGGGCACAGCCCTTAGCACAGCTTCCCTTGGGATGGCAGCAGGCCCAACCCTGGCATTAGGGTTCTGGCCGCTGAGAAAGGGCATCATTGCCAAAGGGCGATTCTGCCTTGGAATCAACTGCGATATTTTCTCCTCCTCTTCCCCAACAATTGGTTCGGATTCCATTGGCCTTTTTCTTCAGTCACCGGCCATTTTTGAGCAAAGGAAGTGCGAGAAATCGAAAAAAAATAGGGGTATTCGAAAAAGCAAAGAAAACCGAAGAAATTTCAAAGAAAATAAACTTTATCAAGTGCGGAATTTGCCGATCTTTAAGTTCAAGGCAACGGATTCTACTTTAAAGCTTCGGATTGCTGGGCATAAGCTGGGAAAGAATTCGGGTTAAGGGCGAAAATTAGAGAAATCAGGGTGTGAACGCGCGAATGAAATTGGAGTGACAAAGGAGCATGGTGAGAGTGGCTTAAATATCTTCCAGAAACAAGATTTTTGGGAGTCAGCGCCACTGAAAACCCCACTAATCCTACTTCAATTATCAGTTGTTCATATTCCTGTCTAATTAACTACCCGCTAATCCATTCAACTTCCCCATTACTCCAAAAATAACGGTTATTAGCCTCAATAACCCCCCAACTTCTCAAATTCAAATTACCATCATTTGCTTCCCTCTAATTTTACAAGTCAAAACCTGACTCGTCATTCTTCCGAATAGGGTCAGGGGGGCAAGTTGTTTGGGTCCAATTTCACCTCAATTGGGCCGGTCCACAAATGATACAATTTGAAGCCCAAAGCAAGGTTCAACTCTCCAACTCGTGCCAAGCCAGCCAAGCCCAGTCAATGGCAAGCCCATCTAACCTACGGCCCACTTATCCATCAAGTCAAGGTATAAAAGCCTCCAAGTAAGCCAAAGCAAGAGATTCTGATTCAGTTCCTCTTTCATTCACTCTTACACACTAAAAGCCTTACGCTCTTAGAGCTCTTTGGTACTGCTCTACCTTAAACACATTATTGACTTCGGCATCGGAGGGGCCTTCCTCGGCACAACCCCCCGAGGCCAATTTACGTGTGCTCTTTGTGCAGGAAATCCCCGGCCAACCGCAGCTAGGACCGAGACTAGTCTTCTCCCACCGAAAAGGGTCTGCTGAAGGTCCTATTGTTTTCATACCGAAACAATAATAATTAATATATAATATTAATTGATAATAATAACTTATATTTAATGATAATAATTAATATTTTATATTATTTAACACATTTTTTTAATGTTATAAAAAGAGTAAAAAAAATCTAAAAAAAAATCAAATAATAATAATAATAATAACGATAATAATAATAATAATAATAATAATAATAATAATAATAATAATACTAAAAATAATAGCAATACTACTAGTAGTAGTAGTAGCAGCAGCAGCAGTAGCAGTAGCTGTAGCAGCAGCAGCAGTAGTAGTAGTGATGATGATGATGATGATATTAAATAATAATAATAATGCGATAATAATAATAATAATAATAATGCGATGATGATAATAATAATAATAATAATAATAATAATAATAATAATAATAATAATAATAATAATCTGTCCTGCCCTGCCCTGCGCTGCTCTGCTAAAATCTGCTCTACTCTACTCTGTCTAGAAGCTCAAAAGAACAGGGCCTAATTAAGTGTAAATCTACTTGTATATTACAACATTATGGCTGTTGTGAAGTTGTTTTGTTGTTGTATGCAATTTATGAGAAAGTTTTGTTTTGATTTTACTTTTCCTATCCCAACTTAATTATCTAACTTAAGTCTTGCCAATCATTTAGATTTAAACTTACAAACATAATTATACATCATCAACATTTATTTGTCGTTTTACTTCGTATGTTTAGCTAACAATTTACTTTATTTCTTTTGTAAGCGGGGATAGTGGACGGTAGTTCTTGTGTATAACCTGTAAACAATACGCATATTAGGAATTTAGGATTAATCACCTCAAATAAGATTAAAGTCCATTCAACTTTAATTTGTAAACAAGTGATTTTTTATGCGATTTCCATTTACCAAATCTAATATATGTATACTCCATTATCATACATACCGTAACTTGGAGCCGTTGAAGTGTGAAACTATAGTTGTTACTCCATCGTCATCAACCCTAAGCAAACCCTACAAATAACACATAATTAGTACTTGTATAAAGTAAATTAATTTAATTTAATATTGAGTCTTTTGACAATTAAATTCACACTAAGCTAGAAGACCCTATATTTAGAAAGTTAACCTCTTGTGTGTCACAAATAACAATACCACCCTTAGCAATGGTAGCCACTCCGAGTAAAGTGGTACTATTAACCCACTTCCAATTTTGCAATAATGAACCATTATTTTTTAGCATTCTTTTGATCCAACCATCTCTACCAGCTGTGTATAGTGTCCCATCCTTATCCACGCACACATCTTCTGGATCCTTCAACAGCCCTTCTCCTATCTTTGTCACTTCCTAGATTATTGGTCCATATATATATATATATATATAGTTGATTGTTAGTGATATGAGATATAATCAATATTCAAAAAATAGGTGTGATACATTATCCATATAGATATTACTAGAAGAATAAAATATTTAGGATTATAAAAAGTAAAAGTTCAAGTATGCATTCTTGTAAACAAATAAAAGTATTGAATATAATTTTCAAGCTTCCAATTTTTGTTTTGAACATTCGGGTGCACAATATTCACCGCGTACCCAATGAACATAAATACTTAAGCAAATGAACATGAACTTTTAAAATACATAAGTGTTAAATATAGGTTATGGGCCGCACCCATTAGGCCATCACAAAAAGAGAGACCACTTCACAAGTCTAAAAATGTTTCATCCCAAAATCATATGGCGATAGAATGAGTAACTCATTAGCTTTATAAAGTGTTTAACTTTCTCATCTTTGTTAATATTGGACACTTACATAGTTACATGTATTCTTTGAGAAGGTTATATCTCAACACTTTCCCTCACATGTAAGTTTCCTTTTTAATCTGGTCACATTTGATGGTTTCATGGGGGCCAAAGCACAACATTTTCACTTCCCCTCACATCAATAAGTTGGCCCAATATACTCATTACTCGAGTCATCTAAGATCTTAAATCGTGGGCATGCTTCTAATACTTTGTTAGATACAATTTTGCCTGCACTCGTCACGATGAGTTAAAGAGAGAGAGTTCACTTCGCAAGTCCAAGAACGTTCCATCCCAAAACCATATAGTGATAGGAGGAGTAGTCCATTAACCTTATAATTATAAAGTGTTTAAATCTCTCATCTTTTATCAATATGAGACATTTACATTTGTTGTTTGAGAAGACTATACCTCAGCAATAAGAGTTAAAACGAATGATAATATGAACCCGAAATGCAAAGGAATATATATGTCTCATCTCCACGACGAAATCCAAAGAATTTGTAATTTAAACCCGAAGAACATGTTCATTTTTTATTTAAAATTAAAAAAAACATGTATGAGTCATATTGGAAAAGTATAAATTTGTAATTCAAACCCAAAAAACATGTTATGTTTTATTTAAAAATAAAAAAACATGTATGAGTCATATTGGAAAAGTATAAATTAAAAGAATATATAGTTCAAAACCAAAGAACATAGGTTGTTACGGGTGCACCATGAGCATTATTCACCCGGGTGCATTAAATAATTTTGCTTCTGAGATGTACAAATTATGATTATATGTCATATTAAAAAACAACAATGTAGATGTGATTGCTGGTTCAATGTTTTAAAATCAGAAATTACCTTCCAAAACTTATCTTTATTAAGCAAGCTAAGGCCATACAATTAAGAAATAAAATTTAGTTTGGTCAATACTCCATAAAAAAGAAATTTTCGTTAGGTTTTCTTTTTTTTTTTTTTTTTTTTTTTTGAAATTCTTTTCGTTAGTTTTAGTCGATAGGAAAGATAAACTCATACAGTCATATAACAAAACACTACTTCACTCATTGATTTAGTACATTTAGTTTAATTATTAAAATGTCCTGTCAAAAAAAAATTTATTAAAATGTGACTTAATCATTAGAATCAATGTTAATTATAAATTAAATCTAATTTAATATGGTAAAGTTAATAAGTAATCTTAGTTTAGTAGAAGTCAAATGAATTGAAGTGTGCATAGTACAAGACCTAGCTTATACATACTAGATAATTTTATCTTAACTATCACTCCCTTTGTACATTTTTTTTATTCGGAACTTGAAATAAACAACAGCTACGACTGTAAAAAGAACAAAGAAAAACGGATAGAGTATTATCAAAACTTTTAGCAAGATCTCAATAAAATATAAAAATTCATGTTTTACATACTATATATATTATCCTAGATAGCTAATTTTTGTCTATTCTCAAAACTGGATAAGCAAAAATATATCCTTCATTGAATCAAGTTAATTATAAACTAACCTGTAAATGGTTGTTGGGAGGAAAGATGGAATTAACTAAAGATGGTGAAGGCACATCAAGTATTTGAGGTGATATGGGTGAAAAAAAGTAGATTTGAAGAGCCAATGCTACTACAATTCCTAAGAAGAAAAAGGCTAGAAATGTGAAAGTGTTTTTTGAATCCATTGATAAAGAGAAAAATATGATAAGAGATTGAAATCAATACATTGTACTCATCGAATGAACTTGATCTAAAATGTGTGGTGTCAAATGAGATAAAGATTCTAGGCACGAGCTAGTTTGAAAGGTATAAATCTTTATGGGACCCATCTAAATAAGTATCATTTCAGCCACTTCATGTCATTATATCTTAATGTGGATTAAACCACGTTTTTTTTAGAGTTCGCAAAGTTGAGACATAGAGGTTTGAGGATAAATGAGTTTTGGAAGAATGTTAAGGAAGGAGAAGATGTAACAGTTGCGTTTTGTATACTCATCAATGCGTTTAATGGCTGGCCTAGCCATCTTAGCTAGACCCTGAATTTGCCCAGTCTATGGATCTAGTTCTCTACGTCCTAACAATTAGTAATAAAAAAATGAACATTTAATTTAAAAATGAACACTTCAAAAAAAAAAAAAAAAAACATTGAGTTTTTTAAAATGAACATGATTATCATAACATTAATGAATAGCTGGGTCATGCCCTACAAATGAACATTTAAAAGAAAAAAAATGAACAAGTCAAAAAAAAAAAAAAAAAAAAAAAAAAAAAAAACATTTAGTAATAAAAAAAATAAACACGTAAAAAAAGAAATATTTAGTACTGCCAACATTTTTTTTAAAGTGCCCCATTGGGAGTTTTAACACTATTCATTAGACCTTACTCTGTAGAAAAAAAATATATAGTTTTGTGGCTACTTGTTAGAATCGCCTCAATGAGTAGATTATTAATATTTAATTGTTATAATTTATAATTATTGATAATTAAAGATAGATAAAATTGATCTTGACACTCTGAATTATAGCTTAAGTACATCCAACACCATGGACTTTGACAAGTAGTTAAAACACCACCAACTATTGCATTCGATGCAACGCGTGTCATAAATGGGTATTTTTGGGCACTCAAACTGAGACATTTTTGGTAATTAAAGGATAATTGATGGCACGATTGCATCTCAATCAATAGTTGGTGGTGTTCTAGCCTAGTCAAACTTTAGGGTGTTAGCTGCACCAAAATTATAGTTCAAGGTGTTGAGGCCAATTTTGCATTAAAGATATAATAGGTCAAAGTTTTACATGGGCATGTGTGTCATGTCACTATGGACACTTAAAAAAAATAGGAGTAATAAAAATAAACACGTAAAAAATAAACATTTAATATACTCCCTCCGGTTTTTTTTAATTGCAACTTTGGTGTGATTTGCGGTTCACGAGGCAAAAGTTAAGGGGCATGTAGTAGTGGGGTTAATTAAAGGTGATTAAAGTGTGTGGAGAGAGAAAGTTTGGCCCACCACTTGGGAAAGTAGTGGGAAAGTAAGGGTAAAATAGTAATTTTCAGGGATTTTATTTACCCAAAATAGAAATAAAATAGAAAGTTGCACATAATTTTGAGCGGACTAAAATGGCAAAAGTTGCAATTAAAAAAAAATCGGAAGGAGTATAAAAAATGAACATGATTATCATACGGTTATACAATCATAAAATGAACACGAACATTCAATTTTATATGTTCATTTTATATTACAAAAAAAAAAAAAAATTGACTTTTACTACCTTTAGAAAGCACACTCTTGATTTGAACAACCTTGTGTAATTTTTATTTTATTTTACTATCATTTAATTGCACAATCTTTTGATTTTTCTAACATTTATTGTTTTTCGTTAGGGCTTCATTAGTGGCCACTTTTAACTTTTTTTTTTTTTTTTTTTCTCGATTCATGCCAAAAATAATTTAGTTACTTCGTATGGTTTTGGTGGTTAATTGATCAAATCGAAATTGCGAAAAAAAACTTAAATACCTCGTTTTGCGTGTTAATAAACGTTTAAATTTGCGTGCTGATATATTTTAGAGGTTTGAGGATGAATGAGGTTTGCAAAAATTTTAAGGAGAAGAAAAACAAATTTATTTAAGCTCATTCGTGCATTTAATATATGGTTGACCCAACCATCTTAGCTGGCCCCTGATCCAGTTAAGAATTTGCCCCATTTACGAGCTAACCTTTTGAAGTTTTTGGCACGACACGTAGCTTATGGGCCTAGTCAATGTTTGGGCCTAGCTAATCGCAAATCATGTAGGCTTGACAATAGGCACATCAATATGGCACCAACACGACCCAAAATCATCTTATTTAAAGACTCTCTAACCTTTGTGGCTTTGTGTATCTTTCTTTAAATAAAGCTTTGCATATCAAGATAATAACAAAAAATTAACATAAATTATCCCAACGAATGACCACCTTATCATTATAATCCCAACAACACTTTAACTCAAGATTATCCTAACTATTAACTCATCCTTTTCACATTAGTCTCCATATTATAGTAAATCTATTATACTGTAGATTAAAAATTGATGTGTCACTTTATGATTGATTTGTTTTTAAAATAATACAAGTAAAACAAAACAAAACCTTCTTCCTTGATTTGTCTCCCCTTCCTTAATTATACTCTTGCTATACTTACTCTGCAAAACTGCCTTTATCTATCCCAACAAATACCATTCATCTCCTTGAATTAACAAGAAATCACCAACCCCTCAAAAAATTGAAAAAGCTCCTCCAATGGTCAAGTCAGTCATTTGATTAGAGAGAAAAGTTTGTAGAAAGAGTGGAGAAAATATATTACCCAACTGATCTATATGCAGTGAAGTATTTAAAGAGGAGAATTAGCTTACTGATTAGAGTTTGTGTTAGGGTTAGTTTATGGCCGTGTTAGGCATTATTGGACCGTATTAGGGTTTCTTGAGATGCATACTGTACACAATATTCTTGTTTAGGGTTTATTCTAAGGACATTTTGACGATTTTGATTTTACAAAGTTTGGCCCACAGGGGTCGAACACCATTTTTTAAGTTAAGGGAACCAAAGAATTGAAGTTAGTTACAAAAGAAAATGTAATTGAAGATCAATAGATAGCAACACAACAACTAATTTCAGTTACTTCACGTTCTTTCCGAACTTCAGCTCGATCCACTTTGATAAGAATGCAAGACGAGCATGACAATAAGAACTTCATTATATTTTTGTAGGACAATGCAAGTTTAATTTTAACAGTCACATTTTGTACAAGTTAGTGAGTAATTATAGTCGTTTATTAATCAACGGTCAATTATTATAAATAGTTGAGACATAATTAAATCACATTTATTATATTGTACGAATTATACCTAATGTCAATGATATATAATAGTAAAGATAAGAATGGGATCACACATGTTTGTGATGATCTTCCTTAAATTCAAGTGACGAAGCTTCAAGAGTTCACGGACAATGATGAAAAACTAACGTACTAGTAGTATTATTGTTACTTATGTATAGTTCAAATTATATGTGTCTCATTTTTGGTGACATTATTCCTTAGAATTTAGCTACATAACCAACTAATTAATCAGATAGACGTTTATTGTTACAAAATATGTCGCCCTCATCTCTGATCTCAGGAGAAGACGAGCGGTAAATAGTAAAGAGGGAATTTCCAGGATATTGCTCCAAAGCTTGGTAGTACAATATTACGGAGTATGTTGCATCCATGCATGCACAACCAATGTTCCATCTTTAAAAACGGACTTTAGCAAATTAGAAAATTTCGTTGGAAAATTGGCTTAAAATAATACCAACTATTAACGGTGTGTGCAAAATAATACAACTTCAACTATTTGCTATCAACAGTACAACCTTTTATACTATATGTGCAAAATAATACGTCACCCACCAAAGAAGACATTTTAAGGAATATTCTTTTCGTATTCATTATTATATAATAATTGTTATTATTTTTTAATATTAAAGTATTTGTTTTCAAAATACATTTTATGTTAATAATTTCATCCTATCCAAATTAATAATGCTCCGCCCCTTTGTTAGGCTAGTAAATTAATTTCTCTAAAGAATTTTTTTTTTTACTATCAAACAAAAGTATATAGGGTATTTAAATGCATATTATATTGATATATTTAGTTTCAAAAAATGTATTAAAATCCAAAATTAACATAATATTATCCTTTGTTTTTTTATACGAACAACACACCTTTTGACATGCTAAGCTATTTGAAAAAATGATTAGACTATGTAAGCGGACAAATTATGCTACAAGTTTTAATCGTAGCAACTTAACACTTCCTTCTTCATTTTTTAAACACAACACTTTCTTCTTATTGGTGGTAAAATTTATGTTGATTAATTTGTCCACTTATCTAGCCTAATATCTCTCTTAAATTGTGTGTCATGTCAAAATAGTGTGTTATTGTAAATAAAAATGTAGGAATGATGTATTGAGGAAAAAATAATAATAATTAATAGTAAAAAAAATAATATAATAATAAATATAGACGAAATATTCCTCGAGATACCTTCTCCGATAACCGCCGTACCATTTTGCACATATATTACAAAAGGTGGTACCGTTGAAAGCAAATAACTGAGGTCGTATTATTTTGCACCCACCGCTAATAGTTGAGATTATTCTAAGCCAATTTTCCAATTCTATTTAATGACGACTTAATTTACCATGTAATATGAAAGTTTTTTTTTCTTTCCTTGTGATAATATAAAGCATAATATTATGATGGGCTTTTTGTCAGAAACTACCTATTAAAAGCCATTTTTTGTGCGCAAATATCTAATAAAAAAAATGTTTTAAGAAACTACCTAGCTATTAAAATGAAAATGTTGTAAAAGACTACCCTTTCACCAGATTTTCGCCGTTGACTAATTTTTCCAGCGCTGACCGCCCACTTGCCAATCACGTGAATTTTTAAAACTTTTTTTTTTCCAAGCCCCACCAACAATGCCACCAATCACGTGACCGGCCGAGGGTGGTCAACGTCGGAGAAATTAGTCAAAGAAGAAAATCCGACGAATAATAGTTTCTTACAACATTATTTGTTTTAATAGGTAGTTTCTTACAACATTTTTATTTTAATAAGTAGTTTTTTACAACATTTTTTTTATTAGGTAGTTTCTCACAAAAAATTACTTTTAAAAAGTAGTTTCTGACAAAAAGTCCTATTAGAATCAAAGTTTAGTTTCTAACCATTTAATCCTAGGGTAA